TTACCAGGCTGTTGCCAGGTTATACCAACGGCTAAACACATTATTTCACATGTCTAACATAAAACAAATTGCAATGAAGAAGTCACCATGTAAACAAGACAAAGCAACTTTTTAAACACTGAAGTGTGTTTGTTGCATGCATGTTAAATTTGGCAAAATTCGATTAATGGTGTGACAACGTGTAAAGATCTATCGTGTATGCACATGCATCATGGCCTGCTATCTGCAAAAACAGCAAAGTATATTTATTTACAAGAATAGAAATATACGCGTGAGACATTTTTTTTGTATACTGACACTCTTGCAGGGCTAATTACAGCCACAATTTACGATCAGATACTGTCACTTTGTCGTGCAATGCAGTTTTGCACAATGTGATCTGAGCCCACACCCGACAAAACATCATCACTGAGTGGCAAGCAATCCAGCATTTATGTGCAAGGGTTGTATTAGCCTACAGAAAACTGGGCCCCCCGGTTTGTGATTCGTGTCAGCGGGTGGGTTTTGGACAAAATGCATTCTGTTTCACTTGCAATTTTCTCAAGAATTGTGGAAAAACACACACAGAATATTTCAGTTCTGTGGGTGGACACTCCACAACGAAGGCCTACATTTCCTGGCTGACAGTCCCCAGAGGTTTCAGTGGCCATCATGTGTTTCACAATGACATGGAACGGTCGCTTGACAAGCGTGTAAGGGGACATCCAGCCCTCTCACTTCTTATTCCTGATTCCTCATTTTCTCTGGACTCCACAAGCATCAGCTATTAGACTTGGCTGTGGGTATTATTAGACAAGGGTGAATCACAAGGCAAGCGGACATGCGCACACACACCCAGATGCACGCAAACGAACACACGCAACCGTTCACAGTGGAAAGTTACTTTTTTCCCCTGTTTCGGCCTTTTTCTATTTAGCACAACAAGAATAATCTATCATCACGGTCAGTTTAACAGCTTTTAAATTTAACTTCTTTTTGAAACTCTTCATTGCTATACAAGCACAGAAACCCATAGATAACCATATAAGGTTGTGGTCCTCTATCCCACCAAAAAAACCAAGTTCCTCTTTCTTAATGTATTGCTCAAGTCAGACAAGGATGACTCAGTGCGGACATTAATCATGTTTTTTTTTTGTTATCTTCACATCTCACTCTGCTAAGTCCGCCTGTCAGAGCCACAGTTATTTTTAAAAATCTGAGAACTTAAACTCTGGTTAGACTTCAAATGTTAAAAACAACCTCAGAGCATGTTGTCAATTTGACTTCAACAACATGCCTTTGAGAGGGGCTAAGACTGTTTGCGCAATCCTTTTATTTACGTATATTAGCGCTCATTCTGCAGCTTGTCCATATTCTGCTTTTAAAGGACTAGAAAAGTCTTACTTTTTTAGGAATTGATCGAAACAAAGAATGTGGGAAACAGTGGTGGATAAGCTGGCCCACTGAAATGTTTTTACCTTTGAAAAACAAGTGTAAAGTCATTGCACACAAAAAGAAATAGGAAAAGAAAAGCATGTGTTTATGTTCAAGGTGTTTTATGGATTGTATGTCTCATAAGACTGATTTGTCATAAATAGTACGCATTACTCATGAGACTGGCTTCTTCCACATTTTCTAATCCTACAGAATCAAAAGATTTAAGAATGAATCAATGATGCTGCATTGCAAAAATGCTAAAGTTGGGGGGAATGAGGACTTCTTATAGTTTTTTTAAAAGTAGTTTCCACATGCGTCCAGTCGTAAGTTAAAATCTTGTCGGCATACAATGGCCATTTTCTTGACTGTCAGGGCAAATGTCACACTGTAATTTAAAAAGTAAACTCCTGTCACATGCACCACCTGGTGGTCAGGCAGTTTATAAAGAGAACTTCTTGAACAGCTCCACTGAAGGAAAGATGAGGAAGTGGACCCTCTTACAGATCCATATATGGTAGAAACAACTCTAATGTGCACATTTAAAATAAACGAAACACTAAAAAACATAAAGAAGACACCAAACCTCCGAAAGAAGTAACACAATAAGTTAAGCCGCATTTTGTTTTAGCTACTGATTGAGCTGCATCCAGTTTTAACTATATATATTTCGTTACAGAGATGTAGCTCAGTGTCTCCCAAACTCAGGTCTGTCAGGTCTTCTTTCATACACTCACTTTTCTATTATCTTTGCGTTTTGTGTGTGATATTGTGAAGCCCAATTTTACCTCTTTAGTTCTCAGACAGTTAACTGAATCACATATTATTTAAACATCATAGGGGAACTCTGCAAAACTTCTGAAACTTGACCAGTTATTTTTTAAGAGGTCATAAAGCTAGAAAATTGCAAAGCATTGGTTTAATTGTTAACAATATATTTTATAATCTTCTCAAACTGGTTTTAAGTTTTAATAATATCCAGAACAACAACAAGTAACTTATTCATTTGTGACCCACTGCAATTAAAAACTTTAGTTCCTCCCTTATTATAGTGGACAAAAGTAAAAACATAGGCCTACCCACAGTTGCTGATAAGTCATGACCACCTAGATGTGTCCATGAACAAACAAAACAGGAACCCACACATTAAAATGTTCCTCTATTGCATTAATAGAAGCAGGAAACTGCACAGGGAACCTGTAATAGTGATAATAAGACCTGTTTGCCTACTTAGCTTTGATTTCATAATAAAACACATAATGGACATAAAGGTTAACAGTATACCACGTTCATTTTCTAAAACTTTTATTAACTGAATTTAAAGATAAAATTGTACCAGCTTTTAAATATGAAGACAAGCCAGAACTTAAGTGTTTTTGATTCCTGTAAATAAATACAACGAAAGCAGCAAAGGAGTAACTTGCTTGCAGTTTACACTCTCTTCCTTATTTATATTAAGTAACACTGGCTGCAATAAGACCTGCATTGTGTAATGACACTTACAGTCATACTGTATCTAACAGCAACAATAATGGGACCCGTGAGGATGATAATGACAGTATGCATCTCTCTTTTTGACCATTATTCTATTTTATTTTGGGGGGTTTTTTCACACTCTGGTTTGTTTAGTTTTGCAGTGATATTAGGCCAAAAAATCCCTCAGATACTAAAAATATTCCACATGAAGGCAGTAAGATTAATCCATATATCTAATTATCGTAAGCCACAATGACTATATACAGTTGTGGTCAAAAGTTTACATACACTTGTAAAGAATATAATATAATGGCTCTACCGAGCGTCCTGTTATTTCTAAAACTCTGATTTTTCTCTGATAGAGTGATTGTAACAAATACTTCTTTGTCACAAAAAACATTCATGAAGTTTGGTTGTTCAATGACTTTATTATGGGTTAACAGAAAAAGGTGATCACATTTTCTGGGTCAAAAATAATCATACGGCAACATGAATTAGCAATTTTGGTGACTTAGAAAGTTGTCAGTGAACTGAGCTTCATAGCATAGCCTCTTAACTTCTTGTGAGTGATTATGAGTGACTACAGCTGGTGACTTCTCTTAGACCAGTTAAATAGGGCTCATTGGATACAAACGCCCACAAACGCTACAATGGGAAAGTCAAAGGAGCTCAGCATGGATCTGAAAAAGCGAATTATTGACTTGAACAAGTCAGGAAAGTCACTTGGGGCCATTTCAAAGCAGCTGCATGTCCCAAGAGCAACAGTGCAAACAATTGTTTGTAAGTATAAAGTGCATGGCACTGTTTCATCACTGCCAAGATCAGGAAGAAAACGCAAGCTATCCCCTGCTGCTGAGAGAAAATTGGTCAGGAGGGTGAAGAGTCAACCAAGAATCACCAAAAAGCAGATCTGCCAAGAATTAGAAGCTGCTGGAACACAGGTGTCATTGTCCACAGTCATACGTGTTTTGCATCTCCATGGACTGAGATGCTGCCGTGTAAGAAGGAAGCCCTTGCTCCAAAAGCGGCACCTTAAGGCTCGACTGAAGTTTGCTGCTGATCACATGAACAAAGATAAGACCTTCTGGAGGAAAGTTCTGTGGTCACACGAAACAAAAATCGAGTTTTTTGGCCACAATGCCCAGCAATATGTTTGGAGGAGAAAAGGTGAGGCCTTTAACCCCAAGGTTTTAGAATGACCTTCCCAAAGTCCTGACTTAAACCCCATTGAAAACATGTGGACAATGCTGAAGAAACAAGTCCATGTCAGAAAGCCATCAAATTTAACTGAACTGCACCAATTCTGTCAAGAGGAGTGGTCAAAGATTCAACCAGAAGCCTGCCAGAAGCTTGTGGATGGCTACCAAAAGCGCCTAATTGAAGTGAAAATGGCTAAGGGACATGTAACCATAATTAGTATGTATATTTCTGACCCAGCAGATGTGATCACTTTTTTCTGTTAACCCATAATAAAGTCATTAAAGAACCAAACTTCATGAATGTTTTTTGTGACAACGAAGCATCTGTTCCAATCACTCTATCAGAGAAAAATCAAAGTTTTAGAAATAACGGGACACTCGGTAGAGCCATTATATTATATTCTTTACAAGTGTATGTAAACTTTTGACCACAACTGTATATAGCTGTTTCTTCTACATTTTACACCTGTGATGGACTATACTGATGGTAGCCAAACTTTTCTTTATAGATAACATGAATTATCTGTTCTGTTATAGGCTAATTAAAATTATTATTATATATACTTAAAGTGTAAACTGTTAAAGCACAATAATAGTTATTTGTCTTACTTTGCAGAACAAACAAATGCTTATTCAGTTTACTCTCATTAAAAAAAGAAAAACATGGGAGGCATGTTTTTTATATTTGATGCAAATAATCTTTTTTTTGTTCGACTAATCGGATCAGTCGATTCTGAAATCTGTTTCAAACACTCTTACCAATTATACAATTCTTTTGGGTTAGGATTTGATTTTTTTGTGCTAGTGGTATCTAGTTACATCCCGCCATTTCACTGAAGTAAAAATAAAAATACCCGAGCAAGAAAAGTATGCTGATATTTGGCCTTGATTTAGAGAGCTTAGGGGTCCCGAGTGAAAGAAGGGAGGGGGGCAATAAAGTTACTTCCTGGAGCGTTTTGGTGGGGCGGGATCCATGCTGTGCCTCTCCTCTGTTGTTTATGTTTCCCCTCCATGATCCTGATACGTGGCTGTCTGGAGCAGCGTATGGTTCGGAGACTGGGGAAGCCGCGGTGACCCGCAGTCTCTGGTGCGCTGCAGCTAACGGATCCCTGTCTGCAGGAGCAGCAGCAGCTGGAGTCTGGAGGAACTCAGCCTGCATTTTATCAAGCCGGCCTGGATGGCAGGGACACACTGGTGCAAAGATTGCCGAAATCACAAGGTATTAGAGATAAAATAAAATAAAAAAAGCCACACGCTGACTGCTATTTGTTTTGGTTTCCTGACCGCTGACGCCATCTGTAAGTTTGTGAAATTGGTGCTAGCTATAGCAGGGTTAGCTTTAATGTGAAGTGACTGCGTGTCAGCGAGGCTAATCTCTGTAGCTGTGGCGTCTGCACGTTTACGGGCTAACGTTAGCCTGCTAACCAGACCCCAAGTGTAAACTTGGCTGACACAACTTTGAGTTAACCGCTTTTTTTTTAAGTTGCCGCACTGCTTGCGACTTTTTTCACCACCGTCCTTACATCTTCTCTGCGGTTAATATCACAGCGCAACTGCGTATGTTACGTGCTGCTTAAATCTGCAATTCCAGGGAAATCCCAAGCAGGGAAGTGTCAAACTGGATGTTTAACAGCGACGTAAACGTGTTATACATTTCCCCCTTGCAAAAATGTGATTAATCGATAATAAATTAAAGGCACTTAAACTTTTCGCAGTCACTGTTAAAAAAAAAAGGCTTGTACAAAAATATCAATAGGCTCCTGCCAGGAGGAAGTCTGTCTGCTATTTCTGGAACTTTCTTCCTCCAGCATAGCTGAACTTTTGTCACATGTATGCCAAAGTCTTTTTAATGCCTCCAGTGTTTACCGAGAGTTTAAAAAGTTTCTATTTATTGATGCAAGTTGAGTAAAAATCAAATCCACAGATGTTTTAATGGGACCAGTATGTGTAGTGCTACTGTTACCTAACACCATATTTAAGTTACAGTTTATCCTAATAAATACAGGGATACTCTTGGCTTATGTTTGAGGGTATTCTTGTATATACAAATTATAGGAAGGGTTTATGAATTACAGCTCTATAATTTATAGTCTCGTTTTTGTTAGTGGACAAAAGCTGTGGACAGATACAGGCTGTAAATGCTGTAAATAGTAGTGCTCGGCCAGATTGCAAATTTTCGTATCAATCAAATATCAAGTAAATACAGTGCAGGTATTGGAAATATCAATATCAATACTGATATTTTTAGCCTACAAGGCAGCTTATGGAGTGGACCTCAGTGTGTTATGACTTATGAGATAAAGTATCATCATAGCAAATTGAAGCACTTGATTATTTTTCTCAGTTTTCACAATAATTTGGTAACAAAACACACCTTTCATCTTTTCATGCATATTAAAAGTGGAGTTTTTTTGTAAATGCTCTAAAGCAGGTCAGCTTCTTGTGTTTAAAAGTTCAATAGGTTATAAATACAATGGATGTGACAGTCAACACAAAAAGTTTCAGACATTTTTCATAGTGCATGTTTGAGGTGTTAACCACCATTGGTATTGATACTATTGATATTTGGATCAGTGCTCCCAGTTCTAGTAAACCGACAACAAGAGGTAAAAGCAGCTTGTATTATTTAGAATGATTTTATTTAAGTTTTTTTTTGAGGCAATAAAAAATGGCAGTAATATCTTAATATCTATAGTTAGTATGATAGTTTTCATGAAACCCTGGATTTAACTCTGAAAACCTGCACTTGAGTTTCGTCTTGACATGTCTAATTTCAGATCTCTTGTGGTGGCGTACAGCGCCAGTAATAAAACTGTCATCCCCCAGTACTTACATACACAGTATATAGTGTATACTGGTCCTGGTTTACAGTGCTGGGCAAATGTCTAAAGTCACCTTTCATTTCTAAATATTTTTCCACTTAAATACTAACACAAATGGAAATATAGGAATAGTTCTCCAGGCTTCCTGAAAGACATTCAAAGCTCTTCTTTGAATGTTGCTGCTATTTGTTCTGTTTGTGTGCTTTTTTTCTATCCAGGTATGCTGTTACTTCATTGGCAGTGTGTTTGACATCATTGTCATGCTGAAAGAAATGGAAGGTGTTGCAAAACAGACACTTTCCAGGTGGCATTGCGTGATGGATCAAAATCAGATGGTACTTCTCTGCGTTCATAATCCCATCAATTTTGACTCCCAACACCACTGAAACACAGTTCCAAACCAGGACAGTGTTTTACAGCTGGATATAGACACTCTCTGTTTAGTGTCACGCTCTGTTCTGATGAGGATTTGAACCAAAACTTAAATATCTGGATTCATCGCTATATTTTACTGTCACTACTTGTCCAGCCAGTTAATGTGTAATTACATACTTCAGCTTTTCCGTTTCCTTTACACTGAGGTCATTTCTGGTGAGCCTTCAGTGAACAGTACCGGGATCATCTTAGGTCCTGTGTCAGGTCTTTGGTGTGTGTGTGGTTTTTTTCTTTCTTTTTTTTATATATGTCTTAAAGACATTACTCTTTGGGAATAATTTCTTTCTTTCTTTCTTTCTTTCTTTCTTTCTTTCTTTTTGAGGACATGATTTTTAGATACTGTTCCATCCGTTATAGACAGTTTTTAGGCCTCCCACTTCTTCTTTTGTCCTCCACTTGTCCAGTTTTCTCAAATTGTTAAGGATTCTCTTCATACCATACTGAGATATGTGAAGTTTTACGGTATTAGGTCTGTGGGAATCACCTTCCTAGTGCAAAAAAAACCAAACAAACTTTTTATGCTTGGCAAACTGTGAAATCTTTGTTGTTTTTAGATTCTGTTAAAGAAACTGGAACAAATTATGTTTTTTTGGAACTGACTAAAGACATAATTTGAAATTACTTCTGGTTAAAAGTTGTCCGATATGTGTAAACAGAACACTTGTTAATCTCTTTTTATGCTTCATAGGTCAGTGTTAATTGGCTCAAAAAAAAAAGTCCTATGAAAATGTTAAGGGTCAAGAACTGGGCTGAAAAATGAGTGGACACATTTTGAAATAGCTTGAGAGAGCCTGGCTTCCTTTGAGCGAAATAAAAAGAAATGAGGGGTGACTCAAGATTTTTTTCACAGTACTGTGTGTGATTTATAACTTTTAAGAAATTGTTCCATGGAAATAATCGCTGTTCTTCAGAAGGATGTTTGTAGATTGTGTTTCAATCTTTCTGTTCATTTTTCATTTTATTTTATTATAAAAATAAAAAAAAAAATGCAGCAGAAACACCAATTCCATCTACTCAGCTGCAAAGATTAACCGTTTTGAAAGGTTTTAGAAGTTTTCAGTTTAATTATATGTTTTTTGTTGTTGTTGTTGTTTTAAAAGTACATTTATAAGCTACAGAGAAGACCTGTTTTTGTTATAGTTTCCTTCCTTTACAGAATTACTGGTTGCAAGTATTTTTCGGACCTTGGAACGGATGAAAGGTGGACGTTACTGGAGGCCCAGCTGGGCTGTAGCGGCTCTGTTTATCCCGGTTGCCCTGCTGATGCTGACCTCCAGGGGGGCATCGAGCAACCAGAAGATGACACAAACAGTTATGGCTCATGCGACGGCCACAGCTGCAGGACCAGGCCCCAGCCTGACAGATGACCTCCCAGGCCTCCAGGCAGTAGCAGACTTCTTAGCCAGTGAGCGTGCTCATATTTGGCTCCTGTCTCTCGTGGGCTCTGTTGCTGTAGGCCTCAGTGGGATTTTCCCCCTTCTTGTCATTCCCATTGAAGCTGGAGCAGCCCTCAAAACAGAAGGTGAGAGAGACGATGTGCAACATCAGTATGCCTGTGCATTATTTATATTATAACATGTATTTTATAACTGCAATGATAAAACTGCATAGACATTTACCATATGTGACGCTATGCAAGAGAAGCCGATCACACATATTTGTGTAGGTGACACAATAGACAATGCTGTGAGGGTCATTTGGCATAACAAAAGCTAGGGTGCACCTGTTTTAATGGGCTGCGTTTGTGTCACTGTTTCATGCTCAGTGAAAACATGAAACAGTGAAAACAAACAAAACACACGTAAACAATAACACAGTTGTCGGGACTGTAATTGTATTAAATATAATCAACATGCACACAGAATGAAGACAACAGATGGTAACCCTTGTCACGCTGGATGTTGTTAACCTTAAACATAAAAAGATTTCTCTTGAGCTAACCTAGCTATTACAGTAAAAGTCGCCCACTGAGTCTTCAGTTGCTCTGATGTCGAGGAATGCATGAGCAGTCTTGTGTTTGGTCTTGCAGCCAACAAGAGAACATTTCGTTTTATCATTCTTTCTTTGAGGGCACACTAAATAATTGCTCTGCGGGGCTTTATGGCATTGCATTGTTACTTGGTGATGTAAATATGGAAGACCTCAGTCACATGGGTGTAGAGACTGCTTGGTGACCATCTGCCAACCAAAAATATGTGTATTCTCATAAAAGTTCGCTGACCAGTCTGGGCATTCCCTAGAGGGTTATTTGTCCCTAGTTGTCACCAATTGGCCAAAACTTTTAGATTTATAATCCTTTTTACTTGCTCAAAAATACATTTGACAATAGTATAGTCAATAGTCAACATAAACCGAGATGGCAGTGTTTTAAAGGACAAGAGTTCAGACTTCAAATGCTTGTAGTGAATCAAGGAAGTATGTTACAGTTACAGAAGTCTGACCTGGCATCGCTGATTCTCAAAGCTTCTTACAACGATATAGCTAAAATCTCCAGATTTCCAGCTGTTGAATAATAAATCCCGGTATAATCAACAAGTAGTTCTGGTCAGCCTCTCCTAAACCCAGCTGCACATTCCTCATGGTTTAATGTGAAGGGTACTCAAACCTTTTGGAAAACTGCTGCTTCCTGGTAAACAGATCGTCTCCTGTGGTGACCTCATGATAATGATTCCACCCCCCTGCCACGAGGCATTAAAATACCATACTGAACAGAAAGACTCTCAAACTGTCAGTCTAAAGGTCACCCAGGTCCACACCAAATAAAAATGAAAGGAGAAATGCCCGATAGGCGGGAAAATGGAAGCCGGACCAACAGCTCTGTGAGGCTGCACCGAGGCACTGTGATGTTTAGCACCTTAGTCTAACTTATTCACGTACCGACATTTTCTAATTGGAACCAAAATTTTGTACATCTGAGACTAATAGATCTGGCACTACTTGTGCAGTGGATTTTCAATGAGAAATACTGAGTTGTGCAGTCACATGCAGTATTTTCCTTGTTTTGGACATGGCAGTGGAAAACGACATTATCAGTAAGTGATGTCCGCTAGATATTTCAAGATATTAGTCATTTCTGCCCTGACAAGAAAAGACTTGCAAGCGCTTGTGGCAGTGAGTGGTGTTGAATTCTAGACACATTTTTGTACGTTGCATTCTCGTTTGTGGTTGTTATTAAACGAAGGGTCTCGATACATGTGCAGCATTGTGCCAGTGGGCCTCGCACGCAGTCTACAAGAGAAGTTTCTAGATTGGAAATGGTGAAAATGCATTACATCCTCCCCCAGTCCTGAGAGCAGAACCAATTACGTCAGAGCTTATTCATTATTTAACATTTCACCCCATTGCCTGTTTAGCACCAGGCATTAGTACCCATCCCTGGCAGGCAGTAATGTACCCTTACAATACCTGCCTGTAATTTTAACCAGTTAACATATGGTTGAAGAGTGAGAGAGGTTTTTACTGTTGAGCTTCAGTAACTAGACATGTTATTGTAGGTCAGTCTGAGGCCTCTTTCAGGTGCCCCACCCTAAAGAACGTGGCAGGCCAAATGTGTATTTTAGGCTGTGAGACATTAGTCATTACCAAGGAAACTCCTCAGGAATAAAAACGTGGCGCGTGAGTAAGCATGGTTAATATTAGTAAGGTGAGCCAGAGATTCTCTTGTGTATTAATGTCTCTTGTGACAAAATGATTAGTTGATGAGTGGAAAGTGGAATCAGTTTGTGCTTGTAATTGTAAACCAAAAACAGGAAAATTGTATAAAATTATTTATAACTTTTACTCTGCAAAATAATTGTTACCTTGATATTTTGTGTGTGTGTGTTTTGTCAGCTGGATGCCATAAGCTGAAACAGCTCTTGAGCTTTGCTATTGGTGGTCTCCTGGGTGATGTATTCCTCCACCTACTTCCCGAGGCTTGGGAGCTCTCTGGCTCTTCAGGTGGGTCTCCTTTCCACCAGTGCCTTCACCACCTCTATTCAATTTGACCTATTCTTCTATAATTGCTAATAATGTTTACTATCATTGTAATATTTAGACACCAGCTTGCTTTCACTGTTAACAGTCTGCTTCTCCTGAAGCATCTTATGAAGTGTATTTGCTCTCTCAGCCTTATTTGCAGTCTGTTTGCTACCCTTCCAGCTGGTAAACAAAACCACTACATGACACAAGGCTTGTGGGTAATCATCGGTCTGCTGGCCTTCCTGCTCCTGGAGAAAATGTTCCCAGACCAAGACAGCCCCAAGAACTCCACTTCAGTTTCTGACCTGAATTTTAACTCGGCTGTAAGTATTTCTGCTGAAATGCTGCGTTTTCAGAAGAATATGCTCAGTGCTGCGCACACACATGTCAATACAAGCCTTCACATATTTATCTTTTCATTGGTATGCTTGGTGCAGAATGCATTTGTGTTCAGTCAGCATAATTCTGCCAGTTTTTTTCTATGACTGAAACATCACATGACGCTTTCACCAACAGCTTGAGATTTTGGGAAATATGCACATCGGCATTCTTGTTCAGTGAGAGAGAAATAGCCATCTATCCATTTTGTGAGCTATTTGACCAAATCGGGGACAGATACTGGACAGAATTCAAATTCACATCTATAGCCAATTTAGAAGCATCAGTTCACCCTGGAGGATCTGGGAAGAACCCCAATAGGCACAGAAAGAGCAAGCAAAGTCCACACAGAAAGCTAACGATGCTAACAGCATCACTGTGCTGTCAGAGATGGATTTTTATGTCTTCTCTTTAATTTGCTCATTTGTAAGGATTTGTATATTGGACAGGGTCATTGTTGCCAGTTTTCCAGCGTTGTATTTAACAGGCTAACAAATTACACAAACACTGCTCATGTCCGCACTACTATCAGCACAGAGGGGAGGACAGCTACATGTCGTACAGCTGAGTAATAGGGTTATGATGATCAAAGTGATTTGGGGTAGCTTGACAGTCAGGTCGATTTTTATCTCATTTCCAAATTGATGCTTTATATTAATATTGTGATTATTCTGAGATTCATGATCAATTTAATCTGCCAAGCTATGCTTTCGTGCTGCACTTTTACATGTAAGTGACGCTCCCAGCAGATGTGACTGGGTCTGGACTTCTGCGCACTTTGAAATTGGTGTGTATGTGGTGCAGCTACACTGATCCCTCATACCTAACATCAAATGAGAGACAACAGGAGGATAAAACTGACTTTTGGACTGATTTTAAAATTAGAGCATAAGGTTGTACTTGCACATACACTTGTGTATCTGGACCCCTAATTAAAGAGCCGAAAAATATCGTGACTCAACGTTGTAGCTCTTTATCTGATATCCAGCTACTTATGTTCACTAATTAGCATTTATTATTATGGTTGGGTAAATCCCTCAGCTTATATCAGTGTGCAAACATTTCTTCACGCTGGACGTGAGAAATAAACTCCCGTTGTGTGTGCGTCCCTTTTTCATCCGTGCACTTCTTTATTTGCACGTCTGGGCCGCACATTTTTTCAGAGGTTGGATAGCACTACTATAATGATACGTTCCTCTGGTGTCTGGCTGCAATGCCAAACAGTGCTGTGAAAAAGTATGTGCTCCTGATAACTGGTTGTGCCACCCTTGGCAACAAGAACTGCAATCAAGTGTTTGTGGTAAATAGCAATGAGGAATTGTAGCTCACTCTACAGAATTGTTTTATTTCAGCCACACTGGAGGGTATTCGACCATGAACGGCATTTTTAAGGTCACACCAAAGCATCTCAATTGGATTTAAGTCCAAGATTTTGACTAGGTCACTTTACAGAGGTAAACTTGCTAGTGTGTTTCAGATCATTGTACTGCAGCATAACCCAAGTGCTTGAGCTTCAGGGGATGAACTGATGTTCGGAGAGTCTCCTTCAGGATGTTCAGGTGGAGAGCAGAATTCATAGTTCCAGCATTTATGACAAGTCATCCAGGTTATTCCAAAGTTATTCCAGCTTCAAATGTGACACAAGCCTTTGTGTTCTTTTTGCCCAGCAGGGTTTTTTTTGGCTTAGAACTTTCCTGTGGATGCCATTTTTGCTCAGTCTCTTTCTTATTGTTCAGTCATGACCTCTGATCTTAACTGCAGTTCTCTAGTTATTGTGGCTTTGTAACTCTTTCCAGACTGAAAGATGTCAATGATTTTCTTTCTAAGCTGCTTTCTGAGCTATTTTGTCACACAGCATCTATACAAGTGATTCAACAGTTCTGGCATTAATCTGGGCTGGGTGGGACCTAGTGGAGTTGAAATCAATTTTCCACAAAATGTGGTTAGTCAGAATTAATAATTTAACAAGGGAGATCAGGTTTGGATAGCTTTTTCCCCTAATAAATGAAATAGTAATTTTAAAACCGCATTATTGTAATGTAATGATCTTAAATATGTAAGCATGACAAATGTGCAAAAACAAGAAATGAGGAAGGGGCAAATACTTTTTCCACAACACTGTTGGCCGTTGGTGATTCCACAGAGCCTCATGGGAGGATAAAAATAACCCACCCCTCCTGAGTCATCTCATCAGAAATCAGAAATCATTTGCAGAAATCAGACAATACAGATACCGATGTATCTGGGGTGATAAATTTGGGCATATGTGCATGAAAGCAAAGCGAGTGTCTGCTCTGTCTTTGTGGGGGGAAAAGGTAGCTTTGCATTTTTTTTTCCCCTTTTATAATAAACAACATTATTTAGAAACTGCACTTTGTGTTTACTTGTGTTATCTTTGTCTAATATTTACATTTTTTTGATGATCTAAAACATTTAAGTGTGACAAATATACAACAAAATAGGAAATCAGGAAGGAGGCAAACACATTTTCACAACACCTTATATGTGTATTCATCTGAATTCTGCCTTTACCATCGCCTGTAGGTAAACATATATGTTTACCCATGAACAACCTCACCTACATGAGACGTGGCATTTATGTGAACTGGTTTAAAAAACAACTATTCATAGTTATTATTTAAATATCTATAAATGAACTATTAACTTTAAATACTGTAGCATTCTTAGTTGTTTAAGTTTATTGTTTAGGGGTTAGATGGAGATAATATAAAGTGACAAACACACTGGCTGATAGCAGTATGTTTGTAAAGGCAGCCTCATTCCCTTTCTTATCTTTCTATTGCTATTGAGGGAGAAGATTGGAGTCCATGGCTCAGCTCCTCCACTGGTGTCTATTTATAGCGCTGGGGTGTAGCAGCTGCTTTAGCCATTTGAGTGTCCAAAGGATAATACTCAACTTATAGACACAGGCAGCAAGAGACGGGAAATGAGAGAACGAGAAGGTGGTTATAGGTGTTTTCTCTGATAATATTGTGTGGCAAATCTTTCCATAGGAAGCAAAAAGTATAACAAGCTGAACTAAATTTCTTGACTCTAATTGGGTCAGTGTTTAAGAAGAACGAACAAACGCGTGGAGAGCCTCAGAGTCAAATGGAAAATGTCAAGATAGGATTTTTATCACTTTCTGGCTTCTTAGGTCATTTTGAATTTCTCATTAGGCAAAACTCAGACTATTTGGCACCGACAGTTTAGCTCCAATCTGTTGGAGGAGATTGATAACCCCCCAAAATTCATCACGCTTTATTACTTCCTCATGCTTCAATCGTACACATGGAGCAAAAATTTCCTTTCGGCGACCAGCAGTCAGCAGCCTATTTCCCTCTCATTTAATTTGACTATCAGTTTAAATGGCAGCGTAAGTGGTTTCTGAATAATGGGACAAGGAAGCTGGCTGTTCTCGGAAAACAAACCCTATAGCCTAAGATGAATGGTTCTCGCTCTCTCGTTCTGTTTTGTTTATAATATGAAAATGTAAACATGATGGAGCGGCAGTCGAATTTAAAGGAGATTTCGTTGTTTCTGAGAAAACAAATGAAAAGTACAAATGACTGCTTATTAGCGCAAATGTAAGAAGGTCAAAATATAATGAGAATGTTTTACCAGCTGTTAAGCTGCCTGTGGGTGAACTGTTTGACACACGGCAGGAGCAGCAGTAACATGACTGTTTACCCCACTGTGGGATTCAGGCATTACCATTTCCTTACTGTTTTGACCATAACTGTATTTTAAATGAGTTTTGTTTTTTTGTTTTTTTTTTAAGTTCTTGTTGAGAAGATGTGTTCATTTGTGCCTTCTCCCCCCCTTCCGTTTTTTCCCTCCACAGACACAGCCTAATTCAGTTTTCAGTGGAAAAGCAGTGGTATCACTCAGTAACAGGCACCATGCTGAGTCATGGAAATCCTCCAAGCAGAGTTTGCAGGAAGGATCAAAGAAAATCAAGGTAAGGCTGACAACCAAAACATATCCCGGTTAACAAAAAGACAGAAAATGATGAAAGATGGGGGCATCACTTGGGGTAAGAATTTGACATGGTTTGCTTATGTAAGAAATACATTTAAAGAAAAAAATAATTTACTTTCTCCAACTGAGTAATAAATAGCAACGTAGTTGGTTCAGTGAAACCAGGAAGAGAGACTTGCATAATCAGTTCTGCTGTAGAACGACTCTGTTGTGGGTCCTTTGCAATGCCTTTTTCTCTAACAATTTTATTTTTTAGGGTATAGGCTACATTTTAAAATGTCTCATAAGCTGGTTGGTAACATAAATAATGGGTTAATTCAATATAAAAATGTTCATATAGTGCCCGTTCACAACAATAGTTATCTCATCGTGCAATGGATTGTATAGATGCACAACCTCAAGCGTATAACGATTCCTTATGAGCAAAACACATGGCGACAGTGGGGATGAAGAACTCCTTTTTTGAGATCTCAGCCAGAGCCAGGCTGAGTGAGGGTCCTTCTAAGGGTGAGAGAGGACACAAAGGAAAGTTCAGTCTTATCTGCGCAGTGCCTTTGTTTTCATACACACATGGCGGAAAAAGCATAGCGGCGAAGGAGAATGAGAAGGGCAAAAGCGGATCGTTGAATGAAACAGATTAACCAGAATTGTTTTTTAAAAACGTGCACTTCAGTGATGTGGAACTGGTTTCGTTTTTGTCTGTCAGATGGCAACCAAAGCAATTTTTTTTCTTTTTTTTGTAGAACATGCAAGCAGACTGTCGTTATTTCCGGTCCGCTTGCATGTTTAACCAAAAGTGCCTTTTGGTTAAGCTGTCAGCAAAAAATTTGCATTTGCACTGTTAAAAACAGCTGTTGAAAATAAAGTGATGGGGATTTTTTGCACTTCTAAAGTTGTGGAGTTGTGAAGTATTTTGTCTCACATCAGTTATATCATTATCGCAAATTTTCAAATATATATTGTGATAAATATTTTTGGCCATATTGCCCTGCCCTACTTTGAGGTGTGTGAAGTATGATGGGACTTGGTTATTTAGGTTTCAGATCCTTATTTAAGAAGGGGGCAATGAAGTGTAGCTAATACAAGTTCGTTTTGGGTGGGTTTCCCAGCTGGGGTTTGCTGAGTGGACCATATCCCTGCTCATGGCTATAGCATTCATAGTTGCCTCAAAGCTGGTCCTCAGTAATGCACCAGCAGCAACTATGATAACAGGTATAATTATTACAAAATGTATTTTTCTCCTAAATAAACCCTTTTAAGGGGGTGTTATGGCCCCTTGTAACACCTATTGAAATTGCAGTGAAAGTGTCTTAAATTACATGGTTGTCCTCACCTCACGAGGTGTGTATAGAGGAATTCTTAGGGTGGCTTGGGCTGTGTTTTCTTATTAATTTGCTAATTGTAATAATTTAGGTATAACTACTAATATTCAGCCAGGTGATGATTCTAAATTGGCTGTAGGTGGAGTGTGCAAGGTTGTCAGTCTTTCTTTGTTAGCTTTGTGATAGGCAGGTGACCTATGTGTACCTAGAGTGTACCTTGCCCTATCCTGTGACAGCTGGGATATGACTTCACCCTCAGTCACAACCCTGTATTGGACATGGTGCGCCCTATCCAATTCTGTCGTTTAAAAACTGACTGCAACAAGAATGATATGTAGTGAAAGTGGACCAGTTTTCTTTTTTTTTCTTTCCCTTTTCAATAAGCTTCTTCTTTACCTTTTTCAAGTATGTAAATATTTATTTGCACATACTTAAATCGTGCGTAAATGCAAAAGCAATGGGGTGCCATTCGCAGCTTGTATACTTGCACCAAACAGATTGTGCTGCTGTTTACACATATAGCGTATGTATTAAAGATTTTAAAGGTTAGTAATACCAATTTAATATCTGATCAAATGTGATCCCATACATAAGGGTTTCCACCAGTATATGACCAGTCTGATGAATACACTGGGGAGGTGTCTGTCTGTCTTTATGTGTTTTTGTGTGTATATTTAACATACCTTGATTTGTGAAAATGGGTAGATCACAACTGAGCTAAAAGTATAAAGTCATAACTTTTTGTAACTAATTTTTTAAAAATTTTGTTTTCCATTTTGTGTATAGAGTTTGTTTGGTGGCGGTATACAAGCCGGGAATTGGACCACATTGCTTTTGCATTTACATGCAATTTGTGTATGTGCAAATAAATACTGGGATCCTTGAAAGACAAAGCAGGAGCTTACTGAAAAACAAAGCTGTTCCACTTTCCCCACATATCATGCTTGGAGCGCTGAGTTTTTTGAACCAGGGAGTGTTTAGTGACAGCATAATAAACAATTTATTTTTGGAGACGGTAACAAGAAAGTTGGCAGAGAAAGTCAAGAGTTAATCACCAAAATCTTTTTATGTGTTATTATGTTTAGTTTATTCGTTCGCAGTGGCGTGGGTGTCAAACATGTGTTAGATAAGACTGAACTTTGGTCGGCCAGAGCTCCAGAGAAGAAATTTAAAAAACAAAAAAAATCTGCTTTATTGCACCATTAAAAAAAAAAGTGTTGCAAGAATAAGTCGCATCATGGAAAAATTTCACCAAAGTCAGATTTGGAGACATCTGGACATAACCCAAGGCCTGTTCATGTGTTTGTTTATGGTGAGATTAGACTGACTAAATGTGGAAAAACACTGAGACACTAAAGACACTGAAATTGCGCTAATTATTTTCTAGATGTCTCGAGCATTTAGTCAACTAGAAACTATTTTTATTTTCCAGAATAGTTTTTTTTAGTTGTATGTGGTCCACAAAGTAAACTTTGTAAACATCTACACTTTACGTCATGGATGTAATGTTGCGGTGGAGTTCTGCCGAGGCTGTGCTGTAACAGAAGTGATCCATTCCTGCTGTTTTCTCAGTTCTGACTAATATGCAGTAATGTGACTAACAGTGACATATGTGTCATGTGTTCTGTGTCACAGATGAGTGGATACCTAAACCTACTCGCCAATTGCATTGACAACTTCACCCATGGGCTGGCAGTATCTGGGAGCTTCCTGGTTAGCAAAAAGGTAAGATAAGGTGACACCTCTTTTGTAGTTTACACACAAAAGCCAACAGCTTGTCCTACATCTAAAGTACTCTGCATGTAATATTAGCGGCTTTGCTTTTTCAAGCTCAGGTGCTTGCTCTTTATTTTGCTCTTGGTTTCAGATGCAGTTATTATTTTGGGTCCAGTAATAACTCAAGCTCTATGTGTGCTTTATGCCAGCTAACCAATATGGCAACAGAGTTGTGGCAGTCTCGAAAGTGTGCTTTAAAACAGTGGCGGCGCCTTGTTTTAGTTTATCTGGATAGTTTTGTGCTGAAAATATGCAAATTCAAAACCACACTGATTCAGCAAAGTAGTTTTGTGAGAATGTGATTATTCACAATTAGTCTCCTGCATGCATATTCATGAAAGAACTCCTGGTTTTACAATATAATTGCCGATGTTCCCTGAAGTTGCAGTCACATACTGACAGTTGGTTACTGTAAATACAGTGCAGTAGCTGATGCTGGACTCTTTTATAATTATAATGGAAGCTTTTCAGATACTGTATTTGAATGTTGACTGTCGAGTAGCAGCCCCTCAAATTCTGTTTCTTGAACAAGAAGCAATATTTGTCTGAAGACACACATTTTACTCTGTTTTCATCGAACTGGCCCTGACAAGTGAAAGTGCCGTTTCTGTCAGTGTAAAAACATTTAACTAAACATTTAATTCCTGAGTGATTTTAATATAAGTAGGGGGGAAAAGCCTTATGTTTTACACTATACAAGTATAATGTACAAACTATACAATGCACCGAAATATTTTCCCCTTCACGATTTCTTAATTTGTCGCACTTGATATGTTACTTTTGGTGATCTTTTAACCTGCTTCACTTTGCAGGTATGGCAAGTGAAACTGAGTGGTTAATCACAAATAATTCAACCACCTCGTAGCTTTTTTCCCCACTTGCATAAATAAAATCATCGTCTAAAAAGTGTTTTGTTTTTACTCAGGTTATCTGATGTCAAACGTGTAAGTGTGACAAAAATGCACCAAAAAAAAAGAAGTCAGAAAGGGGCAAATACTTTTTCACAGCGTTATAAATACATGTCAGTGGTTTGTTATTGGAACCTCAGAGGAGGAAACATCAGACTCAGTAACATAATGTCCACTGAGTGTGGGTAAGTGTGATACAAAGTTGGTTGTTTGCACTTCAAAAGGTTGAATAATAAATACTTTAATACAAAATACAATAATAATTATTCCAAACGACGAAACAGTGTCTGAAATTGAAGAAATATACGGCCTCGGCTTGTGGGAGCAGCCTTTGAGTTGGTGCATTACGGTCTTATTGAAAAAATCTGCACTCCAAACTGCAGTAACATGAATTTGTATCGCTTCAGTAAGTTATTGTATATTTGTAGCAGTGGGATGGGAGTCCAGCTGGAGAGACATAAGGCAAGCAGCGTGAACTATGGATCCGTGTGCCAGAGAGGAAGTTAACTCAATGTCTCAAACATGCACATACAAGACATCTCACCAGTGTCTTCTGTTTACTCGTTGTGCATTTAGCACAGTGTAAAATTAGCAATTTTTTTCATTCATACTGGTCTATGATCGTGCTTTCAACATATTTATTTTGAGAATGAAATAATCAGGACTTTATAAATTTGTCAACTTCCCTCAGATCAATGAGGTCTTGTTTCAAAAGCAGGTGGTCATTGCTGCTATCACTTTAGCTTTTTAAAGCCTAAAACAGCTTAAGTTACCTTCACTGTCACTTGACCTTACTGATGTATGAACTACATTTTTTGTTTCATGAGATTTTCATTTTTCCTTAACTGGCCAAAAAAATTTAAGCTCACTTATAGTGATCTGCTGAGATTTTGTCTAATTCATGCTAAAAACAAAACAAGAAATAATTGACGCATACCTGACTCAGTTGTGGTTTTCTTTAGGCTCTTTGTGTAGGACAAAGCAGCACTAATGATACGTTTCTTGCAGGTTGGGTTCCTCACCACCTTCGCAATCCTGCTCCATGAAATCCCACACGAGGTGAGGATCTGAGTTGTTGCTAAATTGTACAGTTTACTTTGCTTAAGGCGTATCGGAAGAATGGAAGTGCTCTAGTGTTTGTAAACACGCTGAATGTTTACCCATTTTTTTATGTGGGTAACATCATCATCTGCAGGTGGGGGACTTTGCCATTCTGCTGAGGGCCGGGTTTGACAGATGGAGTGCTGCTCGCATGCAGCTGTCTACAGCACTGGTTGGGGTCCTCGGAGCTTTCTTCGCTCTGTGCGCTCAGTCACCAAAAGGCACAGGTAGGATGGGGCCAATACACAACACACAAGCAAACGCATTATTAATAACTGGAGTGCATTTTACAGTCGCCATGTTCAGTAAGAAGACTTTCATATTGTGCCTAGAAAATGCCAGTAGCTGGATATTGCCTTTCACTTCTGGAGGCTTCCTCTATATAGCCCTGGTGAATGTAGTGCCTGACCTTCTCGAGGAATCCAGTTTCAGGTATGATGGATGTTTATTAAAGAAGTCCTTTATTAAAGTGCTTTTACTGCTACTGAGGAAATCAACAGCATTATTCTTGGGGTCTAACCAGCATGTCGAATGGATTTCAAACAAGAAGAATTATTTTAAATCACATGTTTGTTTGTTTGTTTGTTTTTATCTGTTTTAATAATTTGCATGTTTTCACAAACAGATGTTCATCTGTGATTGGTATTGCCGGAAACCGAACGTCCGGCTTTGACTCACACCACATGTATATTTATACACATCTTTATGTGTTCTTTGGCAATAATGTGAGCCAAGATGGATTAATACATGGGACACCAGCATTTACTATCAAAACAGCCAGAGTGGGGTCTTGTTTGTTTATTTGTTGTTTAACCAAAAATAAATGCATGGAAAACATGCTTCAGCCTAATATAAAGAAGCCTATCAACATCACAAATAGGTTTAAATATTGAAATCTTTTGACACACCTAACTGCTTTTAGTTGCAGTAGCATTTTATTATAGCAACATCTTGATTTTGATGCGTATATGAAATTATAGAACTGAAATAACAAATTACTTTATTTTTTTTTATAAGTGTGAAGTAAAAGGAAAGCATATATTAGCCTTTTTATGGGAGGGGGGGGGGGGGGGGGGAGGCTAGCTTTGTAACAAAGCAGCTATTTAAAGCTCTGCAGGACAGTTTCAGTCCTACCTGTGTTTGTGCAAAGGAATCAGAATAGAGGATTGTAGGAGTGGTAGTCATTCTTATGATGGGTAATGGACTCCTTGCCATGGCATGAGCTTATCAGTCCTTTGGTTGCACACCCTTAAAACAAATGGCCATTTTTTTATTCCTATGCTCCATATTAATCTAGTTTTTGCTCGAGGCCACAGGGGGAGACATTGGAGATGGCTGAAAGAGCCAGTGTGTAGTTTGTGACCGATCGTTTAGTAGAATAAAACTTAGCAAGGAATGGAAAACTGGCTCTGTGGTTTCAAAAAGGGCAGATGGTTTCCTTTAATGTGCTCAAATTAGTCTCAATGTCTAAAGTTTTATTATCTTTTTGTTTGCTTTTCCAGACACTCCCTGATGCAGGTACTGCTCATTTTCTGTGGCGTGGCTGTCATGGCTCTGCTCTCTGCCATTCTCGACTGCTAATGGCGGAAACACCCTTTTTGCCTTACCAAAAACTAAAACTTAATAGCGGAGCAACATCCTGTTCTCCTCATATCTTTTACCCGTCATATATGTTCATAGAAACTTTTGTGTGATGCTTAAAAAAACGTCTGACAGAGCATTGGCACCTTACGGATGGACGACTGTCGACGGAACAAATGATGTGGACACTTCAAAATGTGCCAAACTTGGATCGTTTGGAGTTCTGTTACCAAGTTGTCTTTTGTTGAACAGATAATCATGATGTTTTGCACATGTATCTTTACACGGGTACGCCTGACGTACCTGGTCAGAACAAGTATTACCGGCCCTGTACAAGGACCTCCCTCTTTATAGTGTATTCAGAGCTACATTGTTTAAATGTTTTGTGTGTTGTTACTGCTGCCCATCTTCTGTTTCTCATGTAGCTGCTGCGTATTTATTGAAAACGAGAAAACGGATTCATCAGACGTGCACCACATTGTCATTTTGCCTTGTTCAGAAATAAGTGCCAAGAAATCAGGACGGTTTAACGCTTTAGAGTCGGCTCCTCACCAAAGTACACTCGATATGCTTTTATCTCCCTAACATAACACAGGCTGCACCTTTTGTCGAGCAGAAGTCGGGGCTCGTTACAAAGCTGTGCCGGCGCCGTATACTTGACTCTGACAAAGTTGAAATTAGTTCACGAGGAAGAAGATGATTGGTATGGTTTCATATTTAGTTTTCACTAACAGTTTTGTAATGCTTAAGACACATTTTTAGAAAGTTAACCATGCAGATGTTCATGTCATGTTGTTAATATAAAGTTTCCACCACTGAATAAAATCACCAGTAAATTTCCAGCATCTCTGTTTAAAGAAGCCATTTTATTTTTAACTTTAAGCACCACGCTTTAGCAGACAAGAGGAAGCACTGGGACACATGATTCAGTGGATTTGGGGATATTTTGACTGATAGAGTTGTGCGCGGGTGCTGAGACAGTGCGACGTGTTCAGCTGACCTTGTTGTCCACCGTGAGCATAATTTTACTGCAAAAGGTCCTTTGCCTAAAATGTCATATGGCAGTGTGGGGGGGTATTGATTGTGTGTTCACACTTGTCCAATTTCAACACAGTCTATTTGGCAAGCTTCTGTTGCCATAACGACTCCTCCACGGGTTGCCTTCCTTAGTCATCAGCCTGTGAGCAGCTTATTGTCTGTGGGAGCCTTCCTAAGTCACAGCACAGAAGGACAACCAGCAACCACTATTTACTCTGTAGTGGAAGAGGTTTCACTGGCAAATGGTACAAACAAATCTTTCATTCTTATTCTCATCCTTGCGTAGTTTAGCCCAAGAGTTTATTTCCTGGAGTCGGGGGGTTGGAATATGTGACAGATGGATGTTAATCATAATATTTTGATGATGTTTACACCGTCCTCTTAATAACTTCACTTTTCAGAGTGGATTTAACTGTTTAGTGTTAAAAAAACAACAACAAAAGACAAATCAAAACATGAAGCTTTGCAAAAGCTTTTGTGTTTCATAACTTTACACTGAAATGTTTTTTTTCTGCATCCACTCACCCGCCACTTTGCCACACTTGTTCTACTTGTTAATGCAGTATCCAGTTAGACAGTCACATGGCAGCAACTCAAAGAATTTAGGAAAAGACATGGTCAGGATGCCCTGCTTAAGTTCAAGATGAGCATCAGAGGAATGAATGAAGTGACTTTGAACTTGGCATGTTTGGTAGTGACAGAGGGGCTGGTCCGAGTGTTTCATAAACTGCTGATCTGCTTGAATTTTCCCACATGAACGTCTCTGGGGACATCTCTGAAAAAGAGAAAATATCCCGTGAGCAGCAGTTTCTCTGTGTGAAAATGCCTTGTTGATGTCAGAGGTCAGATGAGAATGGTCAAGGCTTCCTCGAAGTGATGGGAAGGCAGCAGTAACTGAAATAACCAGTGAACCAAGGGTTTCATGTGTGAGAGCATCTGTGAATGCACATCAAACCTTGAGGCAGATGAGCTAGAGCAGCAGAAACCCATTGCAGATTCCACACCTGTCAGCTAAGAACAGGAAGTTCACACAGGTTCGCCAAATTGGACAATGTTGCTCAGGTGATGATGGTGAGTCTCAATTTCTGTGCTGTGACATTTAGAAATCAGGTTTAGAATTTAATTTAGTGTAAACAACGTGGAAGCACTAATCCATCCTGCCTAGTTCAGGTCGTTGGGGATGTAATGGTGTCGGGGATAATTTCATGGCGCGCGTTCGGCCCCTTGGTACCAACTGAGTAACTCCACAGCCTACTTGAATACTGTTGCTGATCATGTCCATGCCTTTATGACTACATCCATCTTCTGATGGTTGCTTCCAGTCACATGTCACAAAGCTCAAATCATCTCAAACTAGCTTCTTGAACACAATGACTTTACTCAAATGGCCTCCTGGTGGAACTGGAGATTCGCCCCGTGGATGTGCAGCAACTGGGTCATACTATCATGTTGATGTGGGCCAAACTTTCTGAGGTATGCATCCAACATCTTGCTGAATCTATGTCATGAAGTATTAAGAGAATTCTGAAGGGAAAAGAGGCATGCACATGCGACATTATAGGTAGTTGGGTAGTAAAATGTAAAGTGACGTTTCTGCTTACGGGGAAAAAAATGAGCCTTACAACTTAAATTATATATATTAATTCATAAAGGCCTTAAGGGAATTCAGTCTATGTTCAATCTACTAAAGTCATCATGTCATCAAGACATGTTTTCTCCTGGGGTGCCCAGATTAAAATATGTGCTTGTCCTGGAAAGTAATGTTTTGGGATTGTAAACTATTCTGTAACAAAGCAGAGGCCCAATATAGAGTAAATGAATCTTTAACAGATTTACTCTTGCTGGACCATTATCTAATACATACGTGCAATACACACAAGTATACATATATATACACAGACACACGAATATATATAGCTCTATTTGTGCCTTTATTGAAACAAATTTTATTGTGTTGGAACTCGCTTCTGAAACACATGTGATTGTGTATCAGCTGGCAGCCATCTCGTGAACATTGCCTGGATGGCTGAGTTATGAAGCCCAGTATAGAACAATTATCACTTAAAGCATGTCACATCATTTCTACACTGTGCATCGTTTCTGCTGCTGTGCAGGAACGCAGTTGTGGGAGATAAATAACAATAAATACACACATTAAAAAAAAGTAGATGATTCTTAATTTGAAGGATCGGTTGCACACTGCTCAGCTGTGACTCCACAGCACCTGTCTTTTACACGTTTAGTGCAAAAGGTGACTATCCGAGCATTAAAAACCAGCACTCCCCCACAACAGAGCTGCTTTCTGTCTGCTCCCCCATCCCGCAACAACCTGGAGGAGAGAGAGCGCAACTACATCACTGCCCCTGCCTCCTCCTCACAGCGTTGGTCGCCATCCATCCCCTCTCCTCCTGTACCATAACAGATGGTGGGAACAACATTGCATTCACCGGGTACCACAACAATAGACCGCAGCATCTAGTCCGGACATCACTGGCCTTTCAGCACCATGCTCCCAGCGCGGGACTGCGCGAGGTTGTGAGTGCCGTCGTGATTTATTTCACGCGGTATCACCACGGCCACGGAGGAACCTTCTTGCGACTGTTTGGGCTCTCCGTCGAGTGGGGAAGATGGCCGCTATGAAAATATTAACGGGCACGGGGCTCTTCTTGGCTCTCTGCGCGCTGGGGCTGCTCGCCATGGCGATTTGCACCGATTATTGGTACGAGACGGACGCGAGGAGACATCGAGAGAGGTGTAAAAACTATGCCAGTAAGCGAAACGACCCGGGTTACATCTACATTTCGAGCCACAACCTCCCCCTCCAGATGCCTCCAAAGAGCCTGGAGAGGGAAGGTAACGGCCCAGATGCTGCTCCTGTCTTCAGGAGGAAGCGGCACTTTCTGGCCGGGGCGTCTGCCATGGAGTCTCACTGTAGCCGGCAGTTTAACTCCACCATCTCTGGTCTCTGGAGGAAATGTCACCGGGAAGGATTCGACCCGGAGACCGAGGACCTCATTTACAAAGGTAAACACGAGCAGTCTGGAGCCTGGCTTTTCTTGTGTGCACCACCAGGCCGTGATGCTCAGCGATGAGCTCACCTAGCCTGACACACACACACACACACACACACACACACACACACACACACACACACACACACATCCATCCAGAGGCCTCTCACATCAGCATGTCTCTGCTTTGACATTTTATAAAACATGAGGATGGCCTTTTGGAATCTATTGTGTCTTTTAATTTAGCGGGTAATTTCGCTGTCCATGGTGCTAAGTCTCTCTCTTTCTCTCTCTCTCTATAATATCATTATAACAAGAGGATAGTCTTGTCTGTAAGAGCCTAAGCGGTCTAGTAATAGTCAATATGATAAATAAAACAATTTCAGTGTGCACCAGAAGCTGAATCTTTAATGCAAGTGCTTTAAATATTAGGCTACAGTAGAGACAACTCAGTGCACAGCCATCCTTCAGTGAACAACAATGAAAACCTTTGTATCAGGCCTGATGTCATACCTGGAAAAGAGTAAGGTCCTGAAACTGGGGGACTTTTTGTGGTCCTTGTTGTTGTTGTTGTTGGTTAGTGTCACAATAAAAGTAGATCAGCATGGCTAAAACAGACCAGTAAATAACATTCATTTAGCCACAGCATGCTGTACTGAAACCAATTCACACCAAATCTAGCAGCCTTTTAGATACCTTGCAGTAATTCTGTTACATAATACTTCCCACTTTCCTCCCCCCCCAACTACTATAACTACTGCCACTTATTTTACAATTAAAAACCATTTAATTGCACGAATAACACAAGATTTCAGGCTCTCCAATGAATAATTTACAGTGCATTTTCTTTTCTGCTCTCAAAAATCATCATATTGTAAGAGCAGTGCACTTACATCATTTCAGTGTTCTGTTAATGTTTCACTGATTGCCCCATTGTCCTGTAAAGGCTGACTTTATGGCATAAACACATTAGTGCGATGTAGTTTTTGCAGCAGCAAGTAACTCTGATGAAGCTTATTCAGATTTTGTCTCTGAATGGTTGTGATTCAGTGTTCTGGTTATTTCAGGCTGTACTTTGTATTATTATTTAACTGGACTGCGTTTCTTTTTAAAACATTTGAGTTTTAAACGAGCACTACTATGTTGGTTATGAGCTGTGTTCATGAGACCATGTCCACATCTTGCACTATGCATATTGACAGACTAAACACATTTAACTTATGTTAAAAGTTCTTGCTGCTACTAGCCTCCATGCCTTTGGGATATTTACCATACTGAGCTCTTATCAGCAAGAACGGAGGTGCAGATTAGAATTGGCTCAATTTCAAGCATAATAGAACTTACAGTATTTACTATAAGTGCCTGCAGAAGTAAATACTGTATGCAGTCTAAGTAAATAGATTTTATTACTCCATTTAGATAGCCCTGCCTGAGTCTTAGGATCATCTTTAACTTCAGGTTTTATAGCTTCACATTCATTTATCATGTTTTGTGCAAAGAGTGGTACAGATGGCATAGAAGAAAACTGATTATTTATAATGGTCACTGGCTATAAAGCACCAGCATTATGTGGAGAATAATAACATGTAAACCAAACTATGTCTGTCTTCGCTGCAGTAGCTCTGCTTTGCCATTGGCATGTTCGCTACAGTGACAATGAATACACACCAGAAGCATTACGCAGATTCGTCCGCTGTTATTACATTTAGATCTCACGAATGTATGTAATTGAACATCAGAATTGTGCTAACGTTGTTACTTCCTGCTCAAGCAGCCAAAATGTGATTACTGTGCAA